TAAAAATAAATCACCTAAACCTTCTCTTAAGTCATTAAGTGAATAACTATACCTTTCTTGTAAATACTTCTTAATATCCAATTCAAATAATGATTCTATTTCATCAGTATAGGCACATCCAGGAATAATAAATGAGTTTAAGAGGGTAGCCGCATGATTAATAACATATCCTTTCAATTTAGTTCTCTTAAAAATAAATTCAAAGAACTTAGCAGTAGTTAAGAAAATTTCTTCTTCATCTGGTTTCATTGTATTTAATTTAGATTGAAAGTTACCAATACAATTACCAAATACATTTAACATGGTGTTAATAACATCTTCACTCTTCATAAAATCATTCAATTTATCATCATTAAATTCTTTTCTAATTCCTTTATTAAAAGTTTTATAAAGAAATTTAAAAGCCCATTTTTTAGAGAAAAGTAACTCTTTACTATCACCAGTGAGATTAATAATCTGTAAGGCTATACCCATGATTTTAGTATAAGTTGATATTGATGTTAAATTACTTGGTATTCCAAATAATGAATATCCATTTCTAAATAACATCATGCATTTACCAACAATCTCTAAATTATTAGATCGTATTGAATTTTCTAAAATACTTATTAAAGTCTTATCATATCTATTAAACATAATCTCACACATGACTTTTCTATCAACTTTGAATGAATCTGAATTAAAGACATTCTCATAAATTAATAAACCTCCTTCAATATTATAAGAATCATTTGTCATTAATTTCTCTCCTGCTGTATTTAAAAATATTAGAATATTCTCTGTTGATGCATTATCAAATAGAGCAATTGTCATTTTAGTTAGTGAACCTAAGACTACTCTATCTTTGGTTGAACATATCATATCCACTAGATGCTTTTCTAAATAACTGATAAATTGTTCTAATTCTTTATCTTTATAAAAGTCTTTAACTTTATTTGCTATGAATAATGATGATGATGCTTTTACTACTGGATCACTATCATGCAAACATAATTGTAATATAGCTAATAGTACATTTGGATCTTTCTGTATCTTATTAAGTTCACTTTCTGCTCTTATTCTAACATTTTCTATTGGACTAAGTGTGTGTAAAAATAATTCTCTTAATTGTGATTCCATGGGTTTAAAATTTAAAAATTTTTCTTAAAAAGTTTGAATTAATAGATTTTTTATTAAAATCAAATCAAACAAAGTTTAATTTAAATTTATTTTGTTAAAATTTGTTGTAAATCGCCATAAGTTGGTTGTATGTGAAGGATGAACCTAATTTACTTAACATCTTTAGATTAGAAATCTTTAGTCATGGGTTCGAATCCCATGTTGGAACAGGGGTATTTAAGAAATTATTTTTAGAAACCCATAATATTAAATAAACTATGAAGAAGAAAAGAGATTTATTTAAAGAAACTGAAGAACAGAAATCAGACGAGTGTGGAGAAGTCACACAACACAACAGTATGTTTTGTGTATAATTATTTTTTTATAGAAATCGTTTTGTCTGAAAAATACTTATTTGCTATCTTAAAAAATATGTGTTATGAGACAAAGAACTTATTATTAAAAATTGATGACAAAGAGGTTTAATCCTTATATTAGGATGATAAATAGATCTATATGAGTGTTATAACGTGAATAAAATAGTTCACACATCCTCTGTAGGTTTTAGTAAAATTAAAAGTATAAATATTTTAATTTTTATAAAAAATTTTTTTATAACTAACTAATTAAAAAATAATTATAATAACATGTTAATGGTTTTAAATATGATAAATAAATGTTACAATCTAAAACAAATGATGTCATTGTTTCATAAAATCATATAAAAAGAAATAGAAGTAAATAAATTACAGTTTATGAAAGATTTTAAATATAGAAGCGATAAAGATTATAAGAGAAATAGGAATAGCAATAATTAAATAACTTTAATAATAAAATAAGTTTATTTCACAGATTTGATAAAAAACAAATAATAACATAAGCATTTCTGTAAAAATACAAGATTAAATCCCAACTTTTTTTAAATTTTTCAATATCAATATTGGAATTATCTTGTTTAATAATAAAATCTTGCATTTTTTCAATATTTTCTGGTGAAAATTCTGACATCTTTTCTTCAATAAAATTATCAAATTCTTTAATATTATTTTTAATACAAATTGATTCAAATATTTCAACAATTATCTCATATAATTCAATTAAAATCATCTTAGCCTGCAGTGCATTTTTCTTAATTCCAATTTTAATATTTTTATTGGTAGATTTATTATTTTTTATTTCATCTTCAATAATTTTAATAATTTTAAAAAATTTGAATATTTTTTCTCAAATTTCTTAATAAAACCAGATAGATATTCATTAGTAAAACGTTCATTAATTATCTTAGAAATTCCTTTTTTATCTTTACTAGAAGAACAAACCATAAATATATCATAATGTATTTTTGGCTCTTCAATTAAACTACAATAATTAATTAAAATTTTAAGATTTTTTTATGTGAATGTTAAAACTAAAAACAAATAAACAATCTTTAAGTTCTGATTTGAAAGGATTTTTAAATTTTTCTAAACAATTTGAATTCTTTAATAGAGAGTTTTCTAACTTAAAATATGATATGGTAAATTCTTCCAAGACAGTTATAAATAAACATGCTTCTCTTTTTATCGTATTAATGAATTCAAGAACATCATTTCTTAATTTATCACTTTCAGATTTTTTAAGTTTAAGATCAATCTTTTTATCATTTTCATTTAAAGATCTTATTTTTTCCTTTAATTCTTCATCTACTTCTGGTATTTTAATAATAATATATTTCATAGATTTAAAATTTTTATTGTTTATTTGTATTTGTTTAACTTCTTGAAAAAACTCTTTAATATTGTTTAAAACCACCTCATTTACAACAGTAAAACATAAACTTATATTATTTTTAATATCAAATAATAAGATGGGCAACTCTTTTAATTCAATACCAAATTCTTCTTTTATATCTTCATTATCAATTAATTGATTAATACTATCAATACTACATTTCAATTCTTTTACTTTTTCAATCTCATCTTTAAATATTTTATAGTTGTTCTCTTCTTCTATAGTCTCATCTGATTGATCAATAAATGGTATTTCAATATCACCTAGTTCAATACTTTCTAAAGCACAACTAATTAAAAATAAATTTAAAATCATTATTAAAAATTTAGGTGGTTTTTTAAATAATAATTTTACTGTAAAATTTATTTAAAAATTTTTATGATTTGAAAAATGAACTATAATTATTAACAATAAGTTTAAAAATAAATTTTGATAAAGAAACCAATTTAACTGATTAAAATTGTTTTTTATTAAAAAAATATTCCATCAAACAGTTTGTCGTGCCCTACATGGCTAGTGGCTTTGAAAAGGCTGAAATGTTTAGCAAGAAATTTATTTCTCATATCATATCCCCTTTAAGATATTTTATTTATATACTTAAAAAGGAGAACTTAAAACAATTGTTTTAAGAACTATTAAAATGATTGATGTCAATTATAAGTAACATTGGTTACGACAATACACCTACTAACTTATTATCCTGTTCTTAAATTGTTTCTAAATCACAATCGGATACATCAGTATATAAATTAAAGGGTTGTGTATAATTAGGAAAAAATATCAACCTGTCTGTTATTTCATCTATTAACTCATTAACTACTTTTCTTTTTTTTAGTCCAATAAAAAATCACAATATCTTTTAATTTATCTGTTATAGTAATAATTTTATTGCTCAAATTTACTACAAATGATTTTTCAAAAAAAATCCTGCATAATTTCTGCATATCTTTCTTGTTTTTAACTTTAATATAATTCTTTTATTTACTTAATTCAGAAATATCTAATCTCATTCCTTCTGAATCTACTATAAATACTAAATATTTAATTAACTTTTTTAAAAATTTTGATTTTTTAAAATTAATCGAAATATTAAATTTTTTTATACATCTAAATATCTTTCAGGTGATTTTAATGTTCTTTTATACTACTCGACTATATTTATATATCACTAATTAAAATTTCTACATATTCTAAATCTTTAAATATACCATTCATAATTCTTATAAACTTTTGAGGTGGTGTATATAATCCAAACGGCGTTCTTTTAAATTTAAACTTTTAATGTGTGTTACAAAACTTTTTAAGTGTCTTAATCAGATTTATTCATAATTGGTAGTAACCTGAGTTAAAGTCCTAACTAAAGAAAATACTTGCTTCTTTTATTTTCTCAAACTTGGATCTCATATTTGAAAAGGATAATTGGATTTAATAATATTATTATTTAATTTTCTATAGTCTATGATTAATCTTATGTCTGGATACGTTTTAAAGATTATAAATACAGCAGATGAATAATATTACGTGCTTTCTTATAGAACTTCTAGTTCTTTCAACTTACTTACTTATTTTATTAAAAATTCGAGATAATAATTTTCTAATTTATATGGTTTCATTTGGACAATTTTCTTGCCATCAATAAGTTTTATATCCATTTCGTAATTTTTAATATATCCTAATTTTGGATTTTTCATCCTTGTATCTTTAATCATTTTTAATATTTTTATTTAGTAATCATCATTTTAACAAATTTTTATTTTTTCTAATAAAATTCTATCTGGTACATCTATATTTAAATCCATTTTTACTTTCCTATCTAGAAAGAGTTTATAGTTGTTAAATACTATGCTATTTTCAGCGGGATTTATTACATATTTCATCTTTTTTAAATCATCTAATCCCAATATTATTTATTCTAATAGATTTTAGACTATTTGAAGTTCAATTTTAATTTTTTCTGGTAGATTATCAAACTTTACGAATTCTTCAATATGTCCTAGACATTTAAGTTTTCTATTATTTGCAGTTAATATGTTTACGTTTGATCCTTTCATTATAATATCCTTATCAACTACGGGTATAATACCAACAACAAAAATATCAGCACTAGTATCTATCAGTAAAGACCTTTCTTGTGACAAAAAACTAAGGTAGTTTGTTTTTATTTAAGAAACAATTGTCATACCCTGTGCAGTAGGAGGTATGCGTTGTAGTATTCCTTGCACGGTTCAAGGACTGTTCACGTGTTAAATGTTTAAGAGATTTGTTTGTTGTAATCATCATTTTATTTAAAAGGGATTTTCTTTAAATATTTAAAAAGGAGGAATTGATCAATCATTAAATGATTGGTTTATAAATCAATTCGTAGTGACGTAAGATATCACAACAATGTAATGCATTTCTATTGAATCATCATCTTCATCGTATAGCTGTTTATTTACCATATTTAGTATGTTAATATTTTTCTTATCATTCATTTTTTTCTGATCCAACCAACTCCGAGTCTTGGGATTTCTACTATTAAAAGCCTTATTACTATTTCCAAATTTAGAATTATTTTAATTATTCCAATTATTCTTGCCTGTTTTCTGTTTATAAATTGTTTCTAATTTAGATATTGCATATGTAGCATCTTCAATCTCATCAAGATCGTGCCATAATAATTTCTCCTGAAATTCTCTAGGTAAACAACCATAGAAAAAATAGAACTTCTGATTTTCACTAATCAAGTTTTCACCACCAAGATTTGCCCTCTCGACCATTTCTTCAATATAAAATTTATAATTATATATATTTTTTGAATTAAAATATTTTACATTTCTTAATTTCTCTTTTATACCAGCTACTTTATCTGCAGTGTAAATACCGCTTGTAATTATATTGATAATTTCACTAAAAGATCTTTCATCTTTCCCTTTATAATACGTCTGAATAACCTCATCGGTTAAGTAGTCAAGCATTGTAATTGCTTGATTATCAGACCATCCACACAATTTCTGTGCTATAAATAACCGTTTCTTCCAGTCCAGTATATTATAATAATTGCTGTATTTAAAAATTGGATTTTCAACTACAGAACCACTTTCTACTCCCGAAACATTCGCTTTAAATTGTAATTTTTTCTTCTCGTTACTACTCAATTCTCTCTTTATGCACTAATACCCTTACTCTGGCTTGAATTCAAGTTGTTAAAAGTAGCATTGTTAAATCTTTTAAAACTATTTTGAACCATAATATATTTTTTCGTTCATATATTAATTACAAAACTTTCTCATTTTGTTTCACATTTGAGTCAGTTGCTAACATAACACTGCAGTCTTCTTTGTTATTAGTAAACTTGATGGTACTTGGGATATCTTCATACAAATTTAAACTATCCAGGTGGTCTTAATCACCACTCTCTTATTTTATGACTTTTATTTCTCTCATTTTTCTATCTATAATTTTATGGGTTAAAATTTCTTCATTTTTCTTTTAAATTTAGATAAGAAGATTTATATATATTAAAATTAACGATAAGCACCAAATTCTCATTCACAGTATGTTATGAGGGGCAAAAATTTTAAATTAACTATAATCTATCTTTAATTTTTAGAAGAGCATTCTATCTTTTTATCTAAATATTCTTTAAAATCTAAAATTTTAAAGAAAAAATTCCTAATTTTTAAATAAGTGTTTAATTTATCTTTTTCGAATTCAAATTGTTGTAATAAAGTTACAACAAGAAAGGTTTTGAGCCTTTCATCTAATTTATTCATGCCTGTTTCTATTGTGATCTTTGTATTATAAAAATAAAAAAAATATTTTATCCTATCAAATAATGATAGATAGAGAAGATAGAGATAATGAATCTACCAGTGACATTTCAAGCATGAATAAATTTATTAATAACGCTGATGATTGGAGTTACGACACAAATATTGAAAAATCATCATTATGTTATACACCAAATCATTTTAATTTTTTTAAAATCGATTTAACTCTTTTAAAAGATTAATTCTTATATTTTCATCAATTGTAAGTTAAAATATATCACATTCTACTTTATTTGAAACATAAAAATATTCTTTAAAAGCACAAAATTTATACTTTAAAAGCTTTTTTAATAATTTTAAAACAACTCATTCAAAATTTGATTAATTTGCTAAATTATTTGAATCAAACGTTTTAACTTTAATATGGTAGCTTTTGATCAAAAGTTAAAACATTGCAACAATCTGTAGAATTTTTGGAATCAATTGTATAATAATTTTTTTTGCTAAATATTTTAATAAGTTTGCAATCAAGTGTAAATTAAAAAAAATATATCAACCCATATGATTACTTTAGAAAATGAACAATATGGGAGAAGAGGAAAACAAGTGACCCTTGAAGATATAGAAAGAATTATCTCAAAGATTGCTGCTGGTTTTTTGTAAATGAAATCTTTGTCTCATCAGACATAAATAATGAAACTGTTCGTAAAATTGCAATTTTTTAAATAAACAAATGATTTTTATGCAAAACATGTAGCGGAGACAAACATTCAAAATTAATACTTAAACAAAAAAAATAATTGTTACCTCCCTAAACACAGACTGCTTGTAAAAACTTAAGGGTTTAGTTAATAAAGTAGCCAAATCCTTCGGTATTAATCTTTCTCCAAAAAGAATTAATCACTGTCTTATAAAGATCTGGTATACCATTAAGTGATCATAAAAGTACCTAAGCAAAAAATTGTAATCGCACTGTTGAAGTAAGACTTGTGTATGTGGGTAAATTCAGAGAACTAGAGAAACAATACCAGCATAAAAACTTCATGTTCTTAGATAAGGTTAAGTTTATTGTATCAACGTGGATTATCAAAGTTGCCTGTTATAAGTACAACTGCTTATTTGAGTATCCCTACAGCAAAAATAAGAAAGTTTCTGTTTGTATTACTATGAATAAATATTGTTGCATGTCATATCATAAAATTCATGAGAAGGCCTTTTACTGTGATATTTTTAAAACCTTTCTTTAGGAACTTAAAACAAACTATTATGATAATGATATTAATACACCTGTTTTTATTCTAGATAATATCATAATTCATTTTTTCAGAAATAGAAAAATATTTAATGATATGAGGTTTTAATTAGTTTATTTATCCATTATTCACCATTTCAGAGTTTAATTAAGAACTGTTTTTCATTTTAGAAGCACTTTGTTTAATGGGTGTTGCAACATCCGATCTTTTACTTAAAACTCAAAAAATCACTTGTTTAAATGAAGTTTATCACAAAGTTGTGATTAATTTTACAGAAAAAGGTTAAGATACGTTAATCGCTTTGCTAAAGGTAAAATTGTTATTAAATAAAATCTTTCAATAGCCTTTTTATTGTTTCTTAAACGTTTGCACTTGATTGCAAAGATTCAACACTTGGTTGTAAAAGTTGTACATTTAATTGCGAACTTATTAAAATATTTACCAAAAAATTATTTTATTATTGATTGCAAAAGTTATATAATTAGTTGCAAATTTTCGATTTACGATCTAAACCCCTATATTTCTTTCTTAAAATATTCATTTTCTAATTTAATTTTTTAATTTATAATATCATCTTTGAGGCACTTTTTTATTTTACTTTCTTTGTTTGTCTCTAAATTTATAAAAACTTATTAAAAAACTTAACTTGAATATTTCTAAATTTTATATCACACCTTTTTTGTAAAGAAAACATTTTTTCACTTTAAAAACATTTATAATTAAAATTAATAATCTATACATCGACCGAATTAATTTGTAAAACATTAACGTTTATAAGAACATGCTGATAAATATATTTGTAAAATATTTTCTTATGTAAGGGTTAATAAAAGAATTCAATTTAAATATTTTTAAAGAATTTTATTATTATATCTAAAATTTATGTTGTCTGCCGAAGTCTGCAGAAGATGCGTAAACTAGTTTATTATTATTATTATCTAACTGATCTACATTGTCTTCAGTTATGTTATCTATCTCTATCTCTTTAATTGTTAATAATTCTCTAATGTCTCTCGTGTCCATTTTCTATGGGTAAAATTTTTTATAAAATATTTAAGCTTAGTTAAATATTTCCAAATATACCTAATTTACGCAAATAAAGTAACTCCATTAGTATGAGTTACGACATTGTCTATAAAAATATAGTTCATTTAATAATACTTTTGTAATAGTGGTTTTTTAATTTACTTTTCAAAAATTTACTAGATTAGATAATAAAAAAATTTTTTTAATAAAAATATATAATCCTTATTATCTTACCCTCTAAAAAATATGTGATTGATTTCTGAAACTAAATTTCAGAATTACTATAAAAACAATTTCCTTAATTAAAACATGTTTAAACATAAGTTTTTATTTTCAAGTAAGCAACATAGCCGTGTAGGGCACGACACCCCAATATGAGAAGTAAGTTAAATATTATTTTAAGAAGTGTACTATTTCTATTAAGCAATAATAACTTTGTAATTATTGGAGTGGGATGTGAAGATAGTATAAATATTGAAGAGATGATTCCTTTAATAAAACAATCCAAGTATTTATTTAGAAACTTTCAAATTGGTTTTTTAACAGATGTTTTAGTAAAGATAAAAGAGAATAAGAAAGAATTTTTTAATAAGAAAAAAGGTTTAAGAGATTGTCTTAATAAGTTAAATAGTATTAAGTTTGATGATAAATATTGTAAAAAGATGTTGTTAATTTTTTAAACAGAATATATAAAGTAGTAAATAATAATAAAAATTTTGATTGTAGTGAATTATTGAAAAAAGACGAGGTTGCTTTTTTAAATCTATTGATTTGCACTCTTTTGAATTAGCTACAAAAACGTATTTGACTTATAAATATGAATGTTTTCAAACTTTAACGGATGAAAAGAAGAGAAAAACGTATATAAAAATAAACAAAGAAAAAATTTTATTTGTATGTAATAGTAATGAAAAAGTTAAAGGAGAATTTAAATATTTTGTGTCAAATTCAGAATGTGATATGTATTATTAAAATCATTCTTTAAGATTATCTAAAACTGACAAAGTCATATTTGAGAAATTAAAAACATGATTTTTTATTATAATGAAAAACTAAATATATTTTTTAGAAAGATTGCTAAAGATAAAAAAAGAATTATCTAGACGTGAAAATAATCTCAATGTAATATTAAGTAAATTTAGTATTGATTTAAAGAAGTTTATTGAAAGTAATAAAAATTTAAATACTATACTTTATGAAATCGTTGATGTTTTAAATTTATTTAAGAAGTGTTTGTATCTTTTAAATCATGGAGAGTATAATTTAAGAGATACAAAAAGATCGGTAAAAAATATAATTCCTGAAATTGAAAAGAAAATATCGTTTTATATGTTTTATAAAAACGATACAGTTTTAGAAATGCTTAACGAGGTTGAAGAAAAATTAAAAGATTTTTAAAAAAATCTTGATTCTAATAACTCTGTTAATAATTAATTGATTAGTAAATAAATGATTTTAAAAACTTTTTTTAGTTTTAATGTTTAATTCAACAACTATATTGTAAAAAAAGCACCTATTGTTACTTTTATTTAAATATCTTTTATTAACAATGATTTATTTATTCATTTCTCTTTTATAGTTTAAATAATATTACCAAAAACATCATTTTTTAATTATATGGATAAGAATATAGTCAATTAATCTTTACTGTTTTTTTATTAAAAAAATTTCTTATAATTTTAAAAATAAACAAAAATTCCTTTACTTTCATTAAAAATAATTTGTATAAAATTTTTTAATGAATTTTTATCAATGATTTTTTATTAGAATGGTCAAAATTACTTTTTTCAAATTTAAACACAAAGAAATATTATTTCATATTACAGATAATATTAAAAAAATCAATTA